TCATTATACATGGTATATGTATTTTATAAAACAGGTTACACAATAAATCGTATCGTCGATGAACAAGGAAACTGCTACATCTATGAAGTAATTTTGCGGACGAACTCTTTCAAATTCATCTTCTAAGGTATAATCTAAACAAATTATTATACGAAAATTTTAAACGCTTATCTTAGTGACACCTCTGCAGTACAATGATCTATAAATAAAAAATATATTTCATATAATATTAAAAACCAATCCTACAACATTATTATTATTATTATTATTATTATTATTATTATTATTATTATTATTATTATTATTATTATTAATAATAATAATTATTATTATTGTAATATATGTAATTTAATATATTGTAATGCAATGTAATATATTAATAATAATAATAATAATAATAATAATATATTCGAAACAAAACTCATACAATCCCAATGCATCAGTTTGGCTTCACTAAAAAAGTATCAACTTCGCATCAGTTGTTAAGAATGGCGGAACACATACACACTGCATTTTAAAAAAATCTATACATTAATGATCTCCCTGGACATTTCTATAGCGTTTGACAAAGTGTAGCATCTTAGAGTAATATTTAAACTTAAGGAAATAGGTACTTCTAACTATGTAATATCATTAATAGCTTCTTCCAAGACAAAACATTTACAGTCACAGTTGATAAACACACATCCAACCCTCGCAGAATCACCGCTGAATTATCTCAAGGCTTACCGCTATCATTCAGGCTTTTCAATATATATATATATATATATATATATATATATATATATATATACAGCCGATATTCCCACAACTTCTCACACGCACATCACTAAATTTTCTGACGATACCGCCGTATCCATGTCGAATCATTCAAATGATTTAATCTGCAAACATATTCTAGCACATCTAAATAAAATTGACGACTGGTCTATCAAATAGGAGAGCAAACTCAATCCTACAAAATCGTCTTGCAAAATATTATCATTTAGAATATTTTCAACCTCAACTCCACTCCAAATAAACAATCTCCCAATACCATGGACCCCACACAATCAATCTGTCTAGGCTTAATCTTGATACCACACTAATTTGAAGGGGGAAAAAAAGAAGAAAAAAACACATTACAGAAAAATCACAGCAAGACAAAATAAAAAGTAATTCAACTGCAGCCACTCCTACTCCAATAGTATTATTAAATAATGACATCATCGTTTATAAAACAATAATCAGACCCCTAATGATTTATGCATGTCCAATCCGGAGAAACGCAACTAAAACGAATATCAACAAGTTAGAGATCTTCCAAAACCATTTCCTCAGACTTGCCACTTATGCACCCTGGTTCATCTTAAAAGTTCAACTTCACAAAGAATTCGATTTACCCCCATAATTCACCACATTGCGCTCAAGTCTAACTATTTCTTCTCCAAAATTAACACAGTAACGTACGTTACCCATTACGACTTAGCCACCACACACTAGCTCTCAACTCGAATACAAAAAAGGTATCCAGTAGATCCATTCCTCCGCATATTTTCAAAGATGAATTAATTCTACAGGTGATTTGTGAATTTTCTATTCATGATTAGTTAGCTGTAATTGTAATTTAAGTTTAATTGAAAGTATGACAACATATGATGTAGTATACACATAATACTGAACTATTTACATTCATTCACGAATAAGTATGTATTTAAAAAAACAGGCGTGGATAATAAATACAAACGGCTCATAGCCTAAGAACACCTGCAGCTGGCAAAAGTCGGAATTATCCGACCTTCAAATGCCAAATACATACATGCATACATTCTCATTATTCACAATGTTCATTTTAATTTATTCATAATAATATTTTTCCTCTTTCGTCTCAAGAATACCACATCTTCTGCAATGAAATTTCGTTCAGTTATAATTATGTTCGACTTTCTGAATGCAACCACGAGGTCACGGAACAGCAGTGGATCGTGGTGGTTCGCAGAGAAAGAGAATGTAAATAAGGTTGTTCCTGAAGTGACCGTGAGCACATTCCTTTATCCTTCACTCGTGCCTTCCCTGTACTGTTAGTTACGAATAAAAGAGTTTAGTTGTGCCTGCAATATCCGAAACCTTTCCAGTACCCAAAAATGCACAATGAAAAACGATTTCAAAGATCTGTTGACACTTTCAAGTAAGACATTTTTGAGGTACCATCAACGTTAACATTTCTGAACTTGTGCTATAAAAAATTGCGTATGTCTTGTAAAGTAATCGACTGTTGGCAAAACAGTATTAACAAAATGTTCACACTACTATTCTCGATATGCTTCTACGTTTTTCTTCCTAGTCTGGGACAGCCTGTGTACTATATCTTACAATACCTCGTGCTATAAATCTGTCGGCAATACACTCGGAAAGTTTTTTCATTTATCTTTTCTTTCATTCTTTTTTTATTCGTAATTCAAATCTAGAACGAGCTTAAATGCAAGTCATATGAATGTGTTGAGCTACCAAGCCCCTGATAATTTTACTCATATATTTGGCGCTAGGAATCGACACTAGAATGGTCTCTTGTTTATTTATCCATCTTCAATCGTTCCTTAGCTGACCCATGCGACATGCATTCTAGAATGGGATCAGACCGAAAGATACGCTATACCTTCACCGATATTCAACCAATGTAGGTTAGTAAAAGGACGTAATATGCCGTGAACGAGAGCTTTCCGCAGCACAGATTTTGTGAATATCAGTTTAGAGGGAAAAGTTTTGCAAATATAACAAAGTATGGAGGGTTTAATTTTCATAATTGCGGATGTATATGTAACAAATTATTTTACCCAAAAATATTTCGTTTCCAGCCATACCGAAAATCTCCGAATTTAATGCTTGTTCAGCATCTCAACTCGTGTCAATTACACGGAAGTTAGAAAACTTTCAAACACGAGATAGCGGAGATAACATTTAGTAGTCTGCGACATGTTTGCAATACATGTTTACCATCATTTTGAACATTGTGTGGTTTTGAATGTAAGTTGTAAAAATAAGTTGTAGTTCATGAAGTATGTTAATACCCATCTTTGTCTTCTATTGTCTCGGTAATGAAAAGTTGAAACCATTAATTTCATTACCGAACACTGATTCGTACCTTTCACCCATTTCACCACTGTGAGAGGCCGGCCACAAAATTTCACTTGGCAGGTCTTTCCTCGAGTCACTTGAAAGTTGGACACTTTCATTTTCCTGCTTGCGATTTAAGACGTTCAATTATGTCACCACAAACCCAAGGAAAACAGGTGAAGGATGGTGACTCAGAGAAAAAAAAATATTTTTCTCATTTGTTATTCGCTTTCTGTAATTGATATACAGACATGATGTTGTAACGTGTAATTTTCAGAAAACTCATACGAAGGGCAGTGGCTACGAAACGAATTGGATAGTACTTCAAGGAAATGCATCGTGCGAGTTGAGGGGCATTCTAAGTAATGGGTGGATAGAATAACGTGAGCTTTTGGATGAAAGAATGCTTATGACGCCTATAGATACTATATTGGGGATTTAAATACCTTACAAGCAAATATATTTGAGTGCTTATTCAGTCAACGTTTTTTTTTTCAAACAGGAAGTAAAGAATGTAGGAGAGGATTGCGCTCATTAAGCAAGCAGAGATTTACTCATAAAACATTTCGATAATATGTCTTTTTTACATCACTAGAGACCTGAAGTAACACAAATTGCTCACAATTGAGTGCCATTCTAAATATTCCAGTAAAACAGGATCAAGGAAACGAACAAAAAGATGAAAATGTTGTACGGTAGCTTTCTGTACACGTAAGCTTCCGCGGCTCGAACCCATAAATTATCGGCTATCCGGGAGACGCCGCGTCGTTGGCTGGGGTGCCGACGTTTCGCCTGACATGTCGCAGGCTTCCTCAGGGCAGTGACGAGCAGTGAGATTCCTCCTGCTTTACGGTAGCTTTCTGACAACGTCACAGTATTCCGATCAGGAACCCCACCTCTTCGTAGCTTCGATAGATGTCCTTATTCGGAACCTCTGATTTTTTGGGGTCCAGTGCGGTGTAGCGATTGTATAAACCTAGCTACCTCTATGTTAAGTTCATATAACAATTGGTTTTTTGAGCCACCCACAAAAGTGTACTAAAATGTATTATATTTACTGACATCTCCAGTATGTAACAAATCTAATGAGGCATGTCGTGTTCTTGTGGGGGCTATTATCCTCTTACAGTTGTATTCCGTATAGGGAGATGAATAAGCACGTAATTTCCAAACCTTTGTTACTACAACAAAAATCCCAAATAAGTAGCACAAAATTTATTGTTGTATAATTGTCTCGTATCGTTCATTCACTTCGGCCTTATTGCAGTAGACGCAGAAATAGACGGATAAATGATGTGCAATTGTTATAATTGTTCCTGACGTTGCCAATAGTAATGGGAGGCACTGAACATTCACTATCATGCGAACTCGTGCACTTGTGTGATAGTAATGTTACAACTTTAAAAAACTCCATGCAATCTTGTACTGTACAGAAAGGATATTTCTTTGTTTGTGATAAATTTTTTGTTTCATTTTTCGAAAGCGTCTTCCTTTCGATGTTCGAATCTATTTATTTAAATTGTTGTTTATGATTCCTTTTACTTACCGAGATTCATGGTAAAACAAAATGATTAGTAATTATCCAAGGGATATCAAGTACAAAGTTCAGTATTATTATTATTTAATATTTTAAATAATTATCCGGACATCACATGTTTCGGGAATATTATTCTATCTTCAGTTGCAACACAGAGAGGAAATTATTGAACGAAATTTAATTAACATATGTAATGAAACTAACTTATCAATAAAATAAAAATGGATGAAATACAAAAATTGAAACATTTGAAATCTGGAAATCCAAGGAGTTAAGTGTGTGTGTGTATGTGTATTGCTTCACCATACAGGCGTGATGTATCAAAGGTTAATTGATAGGAACTGCATTGAAACAAGAAGACATCACTCACGTTAGTCAGCTGCCCCCAACCAACTGGCGAGAATGTAATGTTGATGTAAGGATCGTTTGGATATGTATCCACAGGCGTGCGGGCTCCATGTCGGAAGATCTGCAAAAAAGAAAAAGGCATTCATCAAAAATATCATCGGACTATGAGAGAGCATCAAGAAAATTCAAAGTCCGTGTCCCCAAATCGCGATATTGGAGTTTTTCCCAAAATATCATTAACACGCAAACATCTCGATGCACAAGAAATGTGACGTAAAAATAGTTTTAATTTATTTTCTCCCCTTACTTCTTAATTACATTAAGTATTGTAATCTTGCGCCGGAAAAGAGCGAATTTTTGTCAGAAAAAGTGTTATTGCCGTGCCCACGTAAAGGAATGAGTGGTGCTACAACAGCGCTTACTTTCTTGCAATAATTTTAAATTTGCAATTTTCAAATATTCAGAGTTGAAGGAAAATAAGACTTGTCCCATTTTTCTAAGCGTTCCATGTTCAACACACGGGAAAAAATTTGAAGCGGCTTTTAGGATTTTTTCAAAAACAATTTTCATAATCTTTTTAAAGGGTTTATTTTTAAAACAGATTTTTGTTATACGAAAATCTATCTTAACGTTTGTAGTTCTCAAATATTAAAAGTTTGCAATTTTCGAAAAAACAAAGTATTTGCTAAAAATGAGTCTTGCACCAATTGTTTTCACTGTTTTTTTGATGGAAACAATTAAAAAAAAAAAGAAATTTGGAGCAGATTTCGAGAAAAACATGTTTTAAGAAATTGCCTGTATTGCACGCAAAATTATGCGATAACTACTCATATTTTTGAAAAATTGTACAGGACCTTCTTTCGAGATTCATCTTCAAAGAATAGATTCCATTAAGAAAACTGTCTCTATATACAATATTGTAGTTGTAGGAAGACGCCGAAAAAATTTGCACATCTACAATTTTTGAAAAATTAGGGATTTTACAGAAAATGAGACCTGCACCATTCTCTTAAGTGTGTATTTCGCTATCGGAGGATAAATAAAAATCGGAGGATAATAAAAGAGCACCAGACGTCTTAGGCGAGCAAGTAGCTTGCGCGGGAGCAGTTTGATATGCCTGTGACGACAATTACTTTTTTATGACCTGAACAAGAAGAAGGGAGGGGAACAAAACATTTGTTTCTCATGGTTATTCTCACTACAAACCACGACCGCTATCGCAACATAATCAACGATTCGCGACCTCGCCATGGCTGTTTATTAGACACGCCGTCGCGATATCCTCGCGCCCTTGGGAGAGCGGGGCACGCTTCGCAGATAACAGAGAATTGTAGCCAACCCCGCTTCTTCTTCCGAATCATCGAAATGCGAGCGGCGACGGCAGCGGCGGCGGCGGCGGCGGCGGCGGCGGCGGCGGCCAGTGCCTCGTGCGGCCTCGTCCTCGCGCCCGCGCCCGACCTCCGGGCGATGTGGCTCGACGCGCGTCCTCACGCGGCGGTGGTGGTGATGGTGCGCTTGTCGCGTGACTCGGCTTGGAGGTCGGCCCCTGCCGGCCGCGCTCTCGCCTCCCCCGCAACCAGTGCCATCGCACCGCCGCGTCGCGTCGCGTCTAGGGATGGCACAAAAACATCGATGGTTTCGAAACAGCGATATTATTACATCGAAGTTTTGCTTTTGATGGGTTCTTCAGATTCATGTATTTGTGCAGGAACATCAATGTTTTTAAAAAAATGCTGTTTTACTTGGAAATATTTCGTCATATTTAAAACATCTATATTTTAAACATCGATGTTTTCATGAACATCGAAGACCTTTTGGTGATGTATCGATCTATCGATGCTTTGCTAAACTTTGCCATCACTAGTCTCGTGGCGCCACGCCCCGCGGTGGTCTCAAGAGAGCCCAAAGTGGTAGGCAAAATGCTATTTGAAACACATTTTTTTAAATACATTATGGAAAGACGTGAAATTCAACAAGAGAAGTTAAAAATGTATTTTATTTGAGATTTACTGTTTTTACATTTACATATTTTTCTTGTGTGAATTAGACCTAATATTCATTCCTTCGGATCAAAGTTTTGCCACCGTAAATAATAAACAAAGAAGAAATTACAACATAATGAGCGATCATCGAAAGTTTGTTATAAGTATTAAAATTATGTCACCGAATCTTGTCGCTTATGTCTCTTCTAGATATTTACATGTATGTTTGAGATATTTATATTGTTAAAATTTATTGTTGAATACTTCACTCTTAATTGGTATAGTACGTTCTTACGACGAATTTGGAGTTGTGGAAGCAAGGATTTTTTAAATTGTATAATTTTTCTTTATTTCATGAAAGAAATTTTAACATGAACTGATTCTTCAGTGTATGAATGCAATTGTATCAATTATTTACATCTTGTGTTTGCCTATCTCGTCCCTTCATCTGCCTTGTGGCTTCACGTGTTCATGCAACTGAAATTGTGGAAGTATCCAACAATTCTGACACAAATCCTGGCCATCTAGCTTCGTCTATGGACCAACAATCTGCTGCCGTTAAAATTCTGTCATGAATGCAAAGAATAATTAGTGGCCATTAGATTGAAATGTTCATTGACAGAAGGAACCACACATTTATCCATTGAGTCGTAGTGACAAATCATTTAACACTGGTTCCTTCTGAACTGGTAAAAATACAGTCGATGAATTTGCATATGATAACTCTGCATAACTATGTAAAAGTGCAGGTAATAAAAGTAAATTTAAGAAAAAAAAACATATTGGCCTAGCCAGAGTTGGTGTCATTCGGGATAATAGAGATGGTGTCGCTCCTCAGTTTAACGTAAAATTTAGTTTTAAATTACACCATAAATATGTTTATTCAAATCGAAAATATGATTATCTATTCTGTTAATGTTATTTTGTACATAATAATAATAATAATAATAATAATAATAATAATAATAATAATAATAATAATAATAATATATTTATGGGAAATGATGGTGATAGGGAACATTTAGTAGAATTACAGTTAATAATCAAATTTATTTCCGTTAAGGAAGTTGCAACCTTTACCGTGATTTTAACTTCATTATTTGATTGATTGATTGATTGATTGACAGTGATTCCGGGCGCGTCAACTGCTAAGATTAGTCCCTTAAAGTGTAGTGCATGTCTTTTGCTCGTGAAGTGGCGGTGATCTTCCCCCGCTGGATGGCGAGATCTGCGGTCTCCTGGCGTGCTGGTCTCCTGGCACGTGTGTGTTTATGTGTAAGGAACGGGGAGGATAGTACATGTAATGACAAGGAAAGATCACCCGCGGTCCCTGGTCCGTTTGCTAAGGTACTGCTCCGGCATTCTTTTGGTAATGATCAGAGAAACCACGGAAAACTACCGATGAGAGCAACCGGCCGCTAGAATTCTCCTCCAGGCAGAGGCACTGCTTATTTGAAAACTCGTAAATTAAACACAGTATTATAAAGTTATCATGACCCGACCTAGATGCCCGAAGTGTATAGAGTATGTGCCGACTCAGGGCCTTGGCTGGAAGGGTCGCGGGTTCGTATCCCGCCGTGGATATAGTTGTTTATCCCTTGTATGTGTGTTGTGACGTAAGGCCTTATGAGTCTGCTGACCACAGACCGAGGAGCCTGCATGTGTGTCTACTGTAAATAGGTTAATATATCCCTTGAGGGACATAGTGAATCCCCGGCGCGGATAGCCGAAACCGGAATCTCCTGGAGATGGAAAAAAGCCCCGGGAGAAAAGTTATCATGATATTAGACAACCGCGATATTTTTAACAAAAACGTACAAATAATCTACTTTTAAATTACAAATTTGAGGTGGCGTCACCCCCTACAAAGTCTCCCTTGGGTCGGACCGCCTCCTCCCCTTGCCAACCTAGCTACGACAGTAGTGACACATACTCACTGGCCTTAACATCTCTTATAGGCAATGATGGAACATCCCGTGTGGAACGTTTATGGACTATCAGAGGGAGTTGGCAACAAATTACATTCACAATGTGCCAAGCTGTTTGGACAACTCTCATGGTTGAAGTATCTTGCCGGCGCTGGTGGATTCTTGAAGACATCTCTTGAGAATGCAACAGTAACCCAGGTAATAAAAGATCTGGACATCCCTAGTTTTTTGAAAGAAAATAAAAAAATCTGTAATACTGAATTGCTGTGTTTTTTTTACTTTCTTATAAGTAGTTCGAAGAAAGAGAAGTGTTTTTAATGCTGAAGAAAAAGTCACATTTTTCGTCACAAAAAACAACGCTTTTGTGGGTCCCCGGCGATACCGAAAAAGGGGATTTGTAACGTCGTAAAACACTTTCTCAAATACCCAGTGTAGTGAGAATCAACATTTTTGAGTCCTTATACCGGAAAATGTTTAGTTTTGCCGTGTGTCTGTGAACAACACTAGCATGCACAGAATTTTCACCAAAATTGATATTTTCCAATCAATTTGGCTGATGTCGCAGCCCGTATATGTGAAATATATTTTTTGTTTAATTTTGGAATCTATTCAGCCACTGTGACATTCAGACACTGTGACATTTTCGAAATTTTCTTAATTTTTCTAATTTTAATAATATTTTTTCGTTTAAATTTGTTTGATTGAATAAAACAAAGTACGCTTATAAAATGCCGTGAATCGGATTTTCCATAAAACGTCTGAATATTTGGAAATTGCTTTATGTTGATACGTTTTTCGACGACCTTCTGCAACTACAATACTAAAGAGATTTTTTCTTAATAAAACCTGTTCTCCAAAATTAGATCTTCATTGAATGTCTTTTATACTTTTTTCCCTTTTCAATATGAGTAGTTTTCGCCGCGTTTCGAGTGAAATTACTAAATAACCGTAAATATTTTTTCAAAGGCGTCTTCGAATATTTTCTTTCCTTTTTCACATAGAGCAATGTTCTTGTAATAACATGATATATGAACGAATGTTATTAAAAGTTCTTTAAAAGTTCAGTTTTTCGTACGTGTCGTACACCTTCAATATTTGATGTGCGAGATTTCTTAGGACAATCTTTTTTCAATAAAAAATCTTTAAATCCTTTCACGTAGTTTTTTTTTTAAATATTAGTTGTTTTAAAGTAATTTTGAGTTTAATATTGA